TGACAGTAATCATAACGTCATTACATTATAATTATTTTATATATTAACCATGTTAAAATATTTTAGCAGAGAAAAAATTAGGAGATAGAAAAATGAATCAATGTATATAATCAGAGTGTCAGATAAGTATTTTTCCAACTCCGACTCTGGGTAAAAATTTTTGCCGAGCGAGCAAGGAAAAACGAATTATTTATTATTTTCGTTTGTTTTTGTATCAAAATGTGGAATAACCATAAAAGTCGACAATTTTCCTTCTAGAAAAAACTCTAGCCACCACCCAATAAAAAACTCCTGCCTACGTCATCCCGTTAAACATTCTTATTGGCTACAAACTGCCGCTCTGATTCGTCATACGCTTTTAATAACACATGGAAAATTCCAATAACCATGTTTCGATAAAATTTTTCACTACTTCAACCCGTCAAGAGCCTGCCACTCCCCAGTAGCAACTTGTTAAGTACTTAAGTCTAGATACTTTAATAGTATTTAAACACGAGACACAGAGTGCAAGTAGTTGGCAAAATCTCAGTCAGAAGAACCTAGACACTTTTAACTCTCTCTCATGATACCAGTGCCAAACAACCAACTGGAAAAGACCTCATTCCGTGGCAACATCAAGGTATGGTACGACAATTTGATGCTTATGAAGAGTCCTTTGCAGTTTTTTCTGAAAGAAAACAGCTCTGGATAAATTCTAAAGAATTATAAGACCAAACCAGTTTGTAGTAAAGTAGCACATTGGGTATTTCTAGCACTACATAGTAAATCTTAAAATTTTTCTCCAGTATTTTATAAAAACACTAAGCTGATATAATTAAATTAAGCAATTTTATTATTTTTAGTACATTGAAATTTTTGTGAAAACCCATTAACGTTTACAATTATTGTTCGTTAATTCGATTTTTCAAATCAACGAATTTTTAAGGATTTGATTATTACTAATGGAATGACGACTATGATATAGTTTTCTATGATATATTGCTAAAAAAATAGAAGTTTCATAAAAAACTAACTTTAGAATAAACAAACATTAAAACAGTATTTACAATTGATACTAAAAGATTATTTTCTGTTGGGAGTAAGCTAATAAATTTCTGAATGTAAATTACTAATTTTTTTTGTTCCAATTATCAGGGCATAAAAAATTTTCATTTTTAAGCATACGAAACTTCGTAGAAACTCCAGCTTTGACTGACGTTTAAATTGATTAGATTATACCCGAACAGATGATGGTTCAATTCGTAAGTTGAGCTCTCTGGTTGAAAATTGATTGAATGGCAGAGGCCAGGAAGGCACATGAAGAAACATTTCATCACACAACTGACGGCGGTGATCAAACGGGAAGTGTAACCAGTCAACTTGTAGTCCCTGTAACGCTTCCATATCTTAGCTGAAATACATTTTAAACATTATTTTATAATCTTAAATTCATTCAACATAGTTTTCAAACTAACAATTCAAGTTTTTCGCTCCGTACACTTCTAACTCGCAAACCGTTAAAAAGCCAACGCCATCTACTGGTTGCTGGATGATAACGTATCTGTATGAGAGGAGATTGGCGCTGCATTTGACTGAGTTCCTGCCAGCGTCAGTTATGTCATCCTTGTACTGACCACAGAGGTGATAACTTCCTCTGACGACACTTGATCCAGGTGAGGCATCCGTCAGACCGATCAGGAAATAATGCAAACGTTCATCTGAAAAAATGTTCCAAAATGTAAAAAGTTTGATCGCTTACGAGTTGATTCGATTGATTTCAGCACCATGTTCGTCAGTTGTTAAAAAAGTTAATTAGAAATATCAATTAAAATGGATTATGAATGAAAAAATAAAAAACTGAAAGACGACTTACTCTCAATATTTCTTGAAAACACATTAACAATATCTACATAATATTCACCAGCGAGGTCGACATAAGCCCAATTGGGACCAGCCGGACCATCAACTCCGTGGAAACAATGTCCCTTCAAAAAATCAGGATTTGCATCTCCATCAACCATTTTATTTGAATTTGGATTCGTAAAATGAACGTAAAATGAACTCGATTTCGTTGGTTTGCCAAGGGCCAAATTTTGGGAACTCACATTTTCAATTATCGACAAGAAGGTTACTAAAAAATGAAAAACATATTTGTTAGCGTTGAATGTTTTCCGTTTAACAAACGTTAAAATAGCCAGAGTGTCGGATTCGGATAAAAAATATCCAACTCCGATTCTGGCCCCTCAAAAAATCTGACTCCTTCTCTGGCTCCTCAAAACTTAGTCATAATATAAAGGCTAGTCAGAGAAAGATAAAAACGTTCATCTTCATCTATATTTTTTCTATAACGACAATGTTTACAGTTGGATTAAGTGTCTTTTTGGTACTAGTAAGCAGCTCTTTGGTCTTATTAAACAGCTTTTTGATCCGATTAAGCTACAAACTATTGCGTCTACTACTACTCTTCTACTACTATTTAAAAATGTTTCTAAACGTGCGAAAATGCTGTTGGTAGTTTAAAGATAGTAGGCAATAACAATTACGTAACAAAAATCTTACCCTGGCAAATTTGCACCAACAAGCTAAGGTATATTCTGGACTGCATCCTAAATTTCTCAACCAGAAATATCTTTATTTTTTACTAGACTTTAACTTATCCGACTGACAAAAACGGGATGTAAAAGCAATCTTTCAAACGTCGACTGATTAAATTAAATGATATATATATATATTTACAATATTCTATAAATTCTACCGAATGTTTCGATTTTTCTCACTAAAGTTTTTTGGTGAACGTTTATATATATATATATATATATATATATATATATATATATATATATATATATATATATATATATATATATATACGAACTACAAACATATTAACGCCAAACATTCGGTAGAATTTATAGAATATTGTAAAAATTATGGTCTATTACCAACATATATACATATGTATATATATATATAAGGTTTGTGTTTATGTATGTGTTATATATGTGATTATATATATATATATATATATATATATATATATATAATAAATGCTGGTAAAAGACCATAATTAATTCATTAATTTATGAAATGTACCGAACTTCTAGCGTTGGATATTTTTTTGTTACATTTTTCAATATTTCTAACCAAATTCTTGTCATTATTGAATCTAGGAATTTTCAGTCCCGTAATTTTCGGTCGGAGTTTTCGGTCCCAGATATCACTATATAGGAATACCTCATTAATAATTTTACTAAAATTAGAATTATATACAGCTTTCCAATTCATTCTCGAGTGTATTGCACTCTATTTCGATTTTACAATCATCTTCAACAATTGTTGCTGTTTATACAGAGAATTTGTATAATCCAGGCTTATGTTCCTGTGACTAACATTTATTGTTATTAGTGACTTTGTTAATGTTACTCTGTTCTTTACTAATTGATATGAGTTCTACGTTCTGACTATGGTTCGGTGTTATGGTTTATTGCTTGGTGTTGTGTCTTATTGTGCTAATTACATCGGCTAATTGTGCTTATTGCGCCATTGACAGATCATAGTTAATAAATTTCGTTAAATTGATTAACAAATTTTTCAAAATTTCTGTCCAATAATAATTATTTATTCATGACTGTCGGTAGCTGACGTATTTCAATTGACGCCTAAGCCAATCATTTAAACAAGCCGTCTGAATTTGAAACAATGAAGAACATTCCAGATCGATTTCACGTTTTGCCTCATAGTTCTCTTGAAATAACATTTAGTATGTGTGTGTGTTAGTGTGTGTGTATGTTTTTCTGTATGTATGTGTGTGTGTATGTGTGTGTATGAGTAAGTATGTATATTTTTGTGTGTGTAGTGTGTGTATGTGTAGGATTATATTATTCAGTCGTAAAAAAGGAACTGGCAAATGTGTAATTCTTTCTTAAGCTGACCCCAGACCAACGACCGCTCAGCCTATAGGTGCAGATCAAAATTGTTTCACTAGTTTTGGAAAATTACCAAGATTCAATCATCTCATACTAATACATACAAGCACATACATAAAATTTCATAAACTGACAAGTGGATGCATTTACAACGGAATAATAGTTAGTTGCACTATTTATAATTTTTTAAAATGGAATTTCGGTTTAAATTTAATTTTATCTTCAAACTCTTTGTAAAGGTGACCACGGCTGATGATGGCTCTATTCCAGGGATGGGCAGAGCCGCATGCTGCCCGCGAAGCTATTTTATGCGGCCCGCGAGACCTTGTTTGCCAAAAATAGGTCAGTCAAACATTATGACCAAAAATGAATCCACAGATCTTAAAAAATTTTCCCCAGGGTCAAAGAAATTTGCTGCGGCCTTTCAAAAGTAAAATAGTTCTCAATGCGGCCCTCACAGCAAAAAGTTTGCCAACACCTGCTCTATTCTATTGAATTTATTCTACCCTATCCTACTAAATCTTTACCGGGATCAATCTGGACAAATCGATTGATTTATTAATCTGTATTAGCTAGTTGCTGGTTGGTTTATATAACTACACGATGAAAAAAAAGTTAAAGCGTGCACAACTAGTTTATTGTTTCTACAAAAATTTCTTTCAAATAACGAAAAAAACTGAACTACAAACTCCAACAGTTTAAAATGTCATCATTCTATTGAAGAAGTTAGCCGCGCAAATAGTATCTTCTGGCCGGAAAACATTTAAAATTTAAATTTGCCGCCAAAACAAATTGCATATCAAACTGTTTCACAAACATGATAGTTTCGTTGCATTATATAATGATGAGTTGATACATATATACGTATACTCATACATACATGTATATATTGGTCATATAGTATATACATATAATATATTAAGTATACATGTGTATATGTTTGATTGACTCAAAACCAGCACATGAGCTATCAACAACACAACGTCAGAGTTAATTGGAGAAAATAATGTTTCAGAAACAAGAGAAAACAAATGAAAAAAAGTCAATTCGTCAGCAAACTCGCTATATAACAAATTAATCGTTATTATTACAATTCAATTTTCAATTCGATATTTGTATAAAACATTTCAAAATTGTATATACTACATAAGAGTTATACATTTTATTGCATATAAAACTTTTTAAAATTTAAGTTTCCTTTTCGGACATTTTTCGTCTTCCGGATTTTTAAACGAACAGGAAGTTGTTATCGAAAGATTCCTCATCTTTTTTGGCGCATGAGCAATTCGTATCTTCGGACACCAGCTTCCACATGCCCTTACAATCGGCATCTATTTGCCAGCGCGTCTCCACGTCCTTGAGGCCACCACCGTAGCATCTGTCGAAATTTCATTTTGACTTTTTTAATTTTCCAAAAATAATACTATATGATAAGATTGCCAAAAAATTATATACGAAATAATTAGTTATATACGATTGTTGTAAAATCGATCTAGATCTCTGAGAAAAAACTAAACTTCTTCAAAAAAAATTAAGAATATTTTCATTTGGCCCTTCAAATAAAAAAAAAACCATTGACCCCTTAAAATAAAAACCCAGTGACCATTTAAAATAAAAACCCAATGACCCTTTAAAATAAAAACCCAATGACCCTTTAAAATAAAAACCCAGTGACCTTTTAAAATGAAAACCCAGTGACTCCTTAAAATAAAAACCCAGTGACCCCCTTAAAAAAGACCCAGCGACCCCTTATAAAGGCCCATCCACCCACCTTGATCCGAGGTCAGCTTTCATGGCAGTTTCTTGGCATTCGACACACGTTTTGGCCCCTAAGACAAATTTCTCTTTGAAGAACTCCCTATCAACGGCATCAAACCCCCTCTTTCCTAGATCAGTGACGCCACAGCCGACGGATATGGAAGTGACTTCAAAGACTGCACAGTAGCTATGGTGGTTGGTGGTAAGTATTTTGCCGATAAAATATATGAAATTGAAATCATTAATAATAATTTTGATGAAGATATTAATCTGGGGCACTAAAATATGTGATTGATGTTGTTAACTACTAAGGTGACGACGACGATGATGATAATAAATTTTCGTAGTAACGTGTTGGCTTGATAATGATATGATCAAGATGATGATGGGTAATGATAATGATGATGGCGGGTAATGATAATGATGACGGCCGGTGATGATAATGATGACGGCCGGTGATGATAATGATGATGATGGCGATGGCATTGATGTTGTAACTTTAAACTTTTGAACGAACGATGTATGTATGCATGAGCTAACTAGCATCATATCACGCGTGACTCAACTGTGTTATTCATTATCATTTAAACTCTCTTTCATCCAAAGGTTCTTTATTTATTTCTCTTTAACCTTCTCTGTTTTCCTCTCTCTCTCCCTTCCTCTCTCTCTCTCCATTCCTCTCTCTCTCTCTCTCTCTCTTATCTCTCTTTCCTTCATTCTCGAAATCTTTTTCTCTCTATCTCATATTTATAAACCTATCTTTCGCTTTTCATTTCATATTTCGACTGTACATAAATTTTTAACTCTCGTTCTTCTTATTTCCAGATTTTTCCAAATGCATTTTTTCATATTTTCATCTTTATTAATTTTCATTTATATTCATTTAAATCCACTTTTAAAATATATTTTCGCGCCCTTTCTCAATCTTCATCATGTTCTCTACTCTTGGTTACTCAACTCTTTCAAGTTTATTACTCATTCATTCATTCATTCATTCATCTTTTTGATATCTTCTTTTCATCCATCTGGTTGTTGCAAGCGTTTTTGAAATTTGTAAATGTGTGTGTGTGTGCATGTTTGTTTGTGTGTGCGTGCGTATGTGTGTGTGTGGTGTGTGTGTTCGATGAAAACAATTCATACAATTTTCAATTTTAATTCGTATTTTTTGCAGTTCATTTCATTGACTAAATTTTTTTTTGAAAACCACGCTTGAAAAAATATTAAGGATTCACTTTTACAACAGGGCAGTAAAAAAGGTATTTTAATGCTCCTATATCTATATTAAAGTGTTAACAGTATATGAACAAACGGAGAACATATGAGAGAACATATGAGAGAACAAACGAGAGAACAAACGAACGAACGAACAAACGAACGAACGAACGAACACCTAAAAATTGAACCTACGTTTGAATGTTGGTGCTATTGGGGTTGTTATGTCTATGGAGGTTTTCTATGATTCCGTGTCTTTGGTCGTACTTTGGTTCAAATCTAGCCTTTCCGAATTTGGCAGGAACGATCATGGCGGATTTGGCTGGGGGTTAGCATTGATTGAATCGTTGTGTGTGTGTGTTTGTTTGAGTGTTGTGTGTGTGTGTTGTGTGTGTGTGTTGTGTGTGTGTGTGTGTTGTTAGTTTCTTTGAGAATAGTTGTAATTAGGAAAGAAGAACTTATATGAGCAGTCGGGCGAGATATTATTATAATATTTGATGAATATTAAAGCACAGTTGAAAAATCTGAAAATTTTAGACGAATGATTGATTGAAAAAATTCCTCGCTGGGTTAAAAATTTGGAGAAACTCTTAAAAAATAGTTAAATATACAACTTTTAAATTATTTAATACTAGCAAATAGCATTTTGTTAAATTTAAATAGTAAAATTTAAAAAAAATGTTAAAAAAAATCCAAAAAACCTCACGAACCTGCATTTTCAATGAGGGAGGCCCTGCTCTTCTTGCAGCCGTCATCGTCACTGCAACCCGCCCATTCGATGGTCTTGCCGCAGGGCTTGCCTCCATTTCGGGGCATGGTCAGAATCGGCCTTGACCTACTCTTCCTACCCATGCCACAACCTGGGTCGCACTCACTCCACTGTGACCAATCACCGAGCTCGCAGTCCATTGCTGTATGTGTGGTGTGTGTGGCTTGTGTGTGTGGTGTGTGTGGCGTCGTGTGTGTGGCGTGGCGGCTTCTGACGTGTTTTGAATTTGCAAGTGTAAGTTAGTTTTAGTTTTTATTTTTTCATTATTGCTTTTACCGATCTAGAATTTTATCATATAAATAATTATTTATATTCACTAGTCGAAACCAATTTTTAATAAACACCCCCCCCCCCCTCAAAAAATCTCACCCAATGGGGTCTTTACTTTATTAAACACTGCCCCCTCAGCCTTTTTTTCCTACCTCAATTCAGACTTTTTTCAAGAACCTCTCCCCACTAATAAGCATCCTTAGAGGCCAATTGTTTACTTTATTCCATTAGACAATCGTCATCAAGAGCTCTCCCACCATCATCATCATCATCATCATCATCATCACGTCATCATCGTCGTCATTATTATTATTATTATTATTATTATTATTATTATTATTATATATTATTATTATTATTATTATTATTATTATTATTATTATTATTATTGTACTTTAAACAACCATGTCATCATCATCGTCATAATCACCATAATAATGATAATAATAATAATAATAACAACAACAACAATAATAATAATAATAGTAATAATAATAATAACAATCATCATAATCATCATCGTCGTCGTCGTTTTCCCACGATCTGGTTATGAAAAATTTTGCAGGGACTCCCTTAATCATCTTAATTAGGAAATGCTTGCCACATAAAACACGCATTTAACACAAACACAAGATCGTCATCATCATCATCGTCATCATTACCACCATCATCATCATCGTCGTCGTCTTTACCACCATGTGTGTATGTGTGAGAGGAGGAGAGAAGGAGAGAGAGAAAGAGAGACAGAAAGAGAGAAAGAGTAGCATATATACTTTAGTATAATATAGTGAAACTAGTTTTTAGCTTCTTGTTTTCAAAGGATCTTTGAAACCTTATGTAACATAGATTAGCATTGCATAGCAGGCCATAAACAACTGGAAAAAACAACATACAAATACAAACAACCTACAAATACAAACAACATACAAAAAACACAACATAAACTATATACAAACGACATACAAAAACTAACAACATACACTAAATACAAACGACATACAAAAACTAATAACATACAATAAATACACAACTTGAACACCAAAAATACACCAGAGCATCTCAGAGCATCCAGAAACATTGAAATTAATCTTCTGCTATCGATAGTAAATAATAGCTCCCTAATTGGTAGTTGGTCCAGTAAAACTTGTTCTGACCGCGGTATCTCTTATCAAAAAACGTGCGGGCCATGGCGTAATGGTAAAGATGTCTGGCAGTGGCACTGCCAGAGCAGTGTGACCAGGTTCGATTGCAATCAGGCGCACGATTATCGCTTGCACTGTCTGTGATGTTGTTGGTGTTGTTTTATTTTTACTACTACTACTACTACTACTATTACAACAACTACTACTACAGCTACAGCTGCTGCTACTACTACTACTACAACTACTACTACAACAACAACTACTACTATTTCAACAACAACTACTACTACTACAGCTGCTGCTAGTACTACAACAACAACAACAACAACTACTACTACTACCTACTACTACTACTACTGCTACTACTACTACTGCTACAACAACAACTACTACTACAGCTACTGCTGTTGCTGCTGCTACTTCTACTACTACTACAACTACTACTACTACAGCTACTGCTGCTACTACTACTACTACTACTACTACTACTACTACTAACAACAATAATAATAATAATAAACAAAGAAAACATAACAGAACGACGAGAATAAACATAGACACATTAGTACGGAAAGCGACGAAAAACCAAAAACAGCAGAGGACGATCATTTATTTGTAAGCATTGTATTTCGGACATATGGAATTGATTAAATCGTTTATATACATACAAACATACATACATACAAACAACCAACAAACAATCAGATATACATATAAAAATATACATGTATACATACATACATATATACATATATACATACATACATACATACATACATATATACATACATATATACATACATACATACATACATACATACAAACATACATATATACATGCATACATACAAATACACATACAAACATACATACAAACATACATACATACAAATACACATACAAACATACATACAAACATACATACAAAACATATATACACAATAATTGGTGTATTGTTGTAGGATATTATCTCGTGCGAAAGTGTTAACCTAACATAATGCTGTTGAAAGATGGAATGAAAATGGATGAATGAATGAATGAATGAACGAATGAATGAATGAACGAATGACTGAAAGAGTGAATAAATGAATAAAAATACAGGAGAGGAATGAATGAACAGAATCAGTTTTTGGAAAAAGGTTCGTAATCTAGATTCCATATTTACAAAAAAATGTAGTTTGATTTTTTTTTCTGTCGTTCCATCGTTCATCAATTCATTCATTCAATCATTCATTCGTTCATTCATTCATTCATTCGTTCATTCATTCATTTATTCATTCGTTCATTCATTCATTCATGCCATCAATCTATATTTTCCTCGTCAAACGAATTTAGTTCCGCAGTAGGGAATTGGGTTAATAGATCATTATCATCATCGCCATCATCGTCGCCAACATCATCATCATAACCATCATCGTTATCATCATCACCATCGTCATCATCATCGTCACCATCTGAGCAAAAATATCAATAAAAAAAGAGTTCGGTTAAGTAAAGTTTGAAAAAACAAAAAGACAAAAACATGGAGAGCCAAAAATAAGTTTTTTCTCAACTAATGGCTTTAAGTAGTTTTTTAAAATAAATATTTATCTATGGAATGAATGTGAAAATGATGACGACAATGATGATGATGATGATAGTGATGATGAACGAACAAACAAACGAACGAACGGACGAAGAAATAAACAAACAAACAGCAGATAATAAAAGAAAGATAATAAATGGATGGACTAGCTGTTAAAAATAATAAACCATCATGTTAGCTGGCGAGATGAACTTCGCGATAACAACATACACAAAAATTATAACTATAATAAGTTAATAATATAATAAATTAATAATAATAATAACAGCAATAATAGTAATTCTTCTTATAATAATAAATAATAATAATAAACAATAATAATAATAACAGTAAGAGTTAAATCAACAAATCGAAAAAATGTTTTTCCATTGCAAAGTGTTCACACGTTCATAAATATTGGAAGTTGTCAGATTTATTATTATTATTATTGTTATTATTATCATTTGTGTTATTATTACTAACATTATTATTATGACTATTTTTTGTTATTAGTATTAAAACAACGCTTAATTAGGCGCGCGAAAAAACAAACAAACATTGCAGAGTGTGAAGTTTTTTGGGATTATCTCCTGTAAAAATCCGTGTAAGACTTTTTAAAATTGAAGTCGAAGACTTCAATTTTTTAAAGTCCATAAAATTTTAAGTCCATTTTAAGTCTATCTTAAAAATTGAAGTCGAAGACTCCAATTTTTGAAAGTTTAAACCGGAGAAGTCGGACAAAATTTGAAAAATCTCGATGAAAACAAGAATGAGAAATAAATATTAAAAAATAAAAACAACGCAATGGAGAAATACCAAAGATATAACACACAAAAACCCTCAGGCGTAAAGATTAACAAAGAAATAAGACAGAAAAAGAACCATAGACAAAAAAAAACAAAAAAATAACACAGAAGAACAGTCCATAGACAAGGAAAAAAAAATAACACAGAGGAACAGCCCGTAGACAAGACAATAAACAAAGAAATAACACAAGAAAAGAACCATAGAGAAGAAAATAGACGAAGTAAAAACACAAGAAAAGAACCATAGAGAAGAAAATAGACGAAGTAAAAACACAAGAAAAGAACCATAGAGAAGAAAATACACAAAGAAATAACGCAGAGAGAAAAAAAAATCCACAACTCACGATAGCAGACGTCATCGTAATCTTCACAGCAGTCTTCATTCTCCTTGCAGTTGACGTCACAATAACAAGTTTCCCCACTGGAGGGTGTGACCTTGCAAGAAATGTCCTTGGCCTCACAACATTTACCCAATTCTCTGCAGTTATTGGCTGGCTCCCTGATGACGTAACGTGACCTGTTGAAGTGTTGCTCCCTGATGAATGCCCTGTCTTCGTCATCCACTATCTCCCCCTTGCCGTGCCTGTCAAAGTTGAAGGCCATCGTGGTGAGGGCGAAGATGGCCAGGAAGAGGAAGATGCTCGTCGATGACGTCATTTTGTCGTGTTATTATTATTTAGGGTTTTTTTCTGTTTTTGGGAAAAATAATTTTTATGTTATTATGAAAGATTTTTCATTTTAATTGTTTTGATCGGCGAATGAAAGTTCATACAAAAAAAATGATTGTAGATTATGTGGGTATGTATGTATGTTTGTATTGTATGTATGTCTGTTTGGTATGTTTGTATGGATGTTTGCATGTTTGTATATTCTTTCATCTTTTTAAATATGGTCTACATATGCTACAAGCATGGAAGTGGTAACGAAAGATGAAATAGTTATGTACAGCCGAAAAACAAAGATATAAAAATGTTTGAAACAAAGACATCAAAGGCGAGTTACATGGAAAAGAATTTTCTCGTCATCATCAACATCATCTTCATCATCGTCATCATCATCAACATTATCGTCTTCATCTTAATCGTCTTCACCGTCATCATCATCGTCGTCGTCTTCTTTATCATCATCATCATCATTACTAGCATCGTTATCATCACCATACTCATTGCCATGTATACAACAACAGCAGCAACAACAACAACAATAATAATAATAACAATAACAACAACAATAATAATAATAATAACAATAATAACAATGTTTTTTAGAATGGGGCTTTCAGATAGCAAAGAGCCATGAGAGGAAATGTACTAATTGAAAACATGCGCCGACGTAAGTTAAGCTAGATTAGGAACTCGTTAAGATAAATAAATAAATAAATAGAGAGAGAGAGAGAGAGAGAGAGAGAAAAGGAGAGAAAGAGAGAGAGAGAGAGAGAATGAGAGAGACAAAAGACGCGTACTCGCACAAATATAAATTCGCACACGCACAAACAAACAAGCAAACTTACAAAAGACATACAGTGAAATAGAAAAAGAAAGAAAGAGAGAGAAAGAGAGAGGGAGGAAGAATGGAAAAACATGTGGAAGAAGAGAAAGTGAGAGAAAAAGACACACGCACACACAAACACACATACACAGGCACACATACACACACAAGCACACAAACTAGCACAAAAAACGAACGAATTTGATTAAGATGAGCATCTGACGTTGTTATAAGTTGCCTGGAAAAAATTTGTTTATCTCTAATCACTTATCCTTCTTCCATTTTTTCACACTCACACACTTCTCTCTTTCTCTATCTCTTCTTTCTCTCTCTCTCTCTTTCTTTTCAATCTTATTGTTGATAACGATGACGATGATGATGGTGACGATGGCAGCGATGATGATGCTAATGCTTATGATGATAACGATGATGAAATCAAGGCAGCTTGAAATGATGATGATGATAATGATGACGATGATGATGACGATGATGATGACGACGACGATGATGAGTGATACTTAAAAAGGTACCAGGTAATCCGTGCTCTCTGCTTTCTTGTTTTGTACATAGAAGAAAAATTCGTTGAAAACATGAGAGAGAGAGAGAGAAAGAAAGAAAGGGAGAGAGGGAGAGAGAGAGAGATAAATCAAGTGCTACTAAAGTAGTAACAACCACATTATTCATCTGCACATCTATCCATCCGTCTATCAATCAATCAATCATTTATTCATTCATTCATTAGTTTATTTATTTCTTAATTCATGTTTTTATCCGGCCATATTACCAATCCATCATTCGTTCGTTCGTTCATTCATTTATTTTTTCGTTTTTTCATTCATTCATTCATTTATTTATCCATACATTCATCCATTCATCCCAAACTGGCTTGCCGAAAAAGAAACAAGTATACAAAAACATTAAAAAATTACATGGCGCAGATATTATTACGAGATAAAAATTAATTTTATTAACATGTTTACTAAAAAACTTTCATTTTCTCAATCTTTTCTTTTTTCCTCTCTCTTTCTCTCTCTCTTTCTTTTTTTTCTATCTCTCTCTCTATCTATCTTTCTATTTTTTCACTGGGGATGACGATGATGATAATTGTAATAATATTCTCTCTCCTCCTTTTTTTCTCATTCTCTCTCTCTATTCTTTTCTCTCTCTCTCTTTTTCTTTCTCTCTCTCTTTTGTCGATTTGTACATTTAATTATTTTCTACCCTCCTTTCTTTCTTATCTATCTCTCTTAATTTTTTTACCGTCTTGTCTTTCATTCACAAATTCCATACACATCTTTGAAAGTATCGTCGTTTTCTTTATTTCATCATCTCTCTCTCTCTCTCTCTCTCTTTCTCTCTCTTTCTCGTTCCCTCACTCTCTCTTATTTTTTTGTATTGCTCCACTTTGCAATTTATACCAATTAACTTTTACAAACTCTTTGTAATCGTTCTTTAGGCTTTTTCATTAACAAAATTTTCAATCTTTCCTCTCTCTCTCTCTCTCCTCTCTCTCTCCTCTCTCTTTCTTTCTCTTTCTATATAAATATATATATGTACAGTAAACATATATATATGCTGAACTATATATATATATATATATATATATATATATATATATATGTTGGTAATAGACCATAATTTTTACATAATTCTATAAATTCTACCGAATTTCAATTGAAAAAACGAACTACAAACATATTAACGCCAAACATTCGGTAGAATTTATAGAATATTGTAAAATTTATATATATATAGTTTTTCTCTCAACCATCAGACCACCTCAGTTCCCCGTATAAAATATCCAAAACTTTTTTTTAAATAGGGAATTTGTTTGTTTAAAGCGTAGAAACCTTACTACTTCTATTATTTGGACAGATTGTTTTGCGTTAATATACATACAGACAAATAAACATACAAACAAAAACAAACGAATAGACACGCGCATATATAGTCAACCAGACATAAAAGCAGACAGACAGGTAGACAGACAGACAGACAAACAGACAAACAGACAGGCAAAAATTACGGGGATTGTAATTATTATAATCGCGATAAAATATGGAACACAACGCATCCAAATATGCAAAGAAGGTACATACGTACATACATACACGTTGTATACATACTTACAAACATACATACATACATGCATGCATACAAACAAACATACATACATACATACATACACAAACAAACATACAAACAAAACATAAACATCTATAACTTCAACAACATCAGCAGCAGAAATGATCTCAGCTAGTCTATTCAGCACACACTTTATCCTATATATCAACCTATCTTGTCTAGTATCTTTCTAAATTGCATATATCTAACTTTTGGTATATCTATTTTTTAGCATATCTATCTATCTATCTGGTATATCTATCTTTTCACAAAAATTTATGGCGTACAAAAATTATATAAATAGAATAATAATTACAACATAACATAACATAACATAACATACAATCAAAAATATATCTAAAAATATGTTATGGTCACAGACACACGCAAACAAGTACACACACAAAAACACACACACAAACACACACAAACAAACACACACACACATCCTACTAAAAAAACATTCACTCACTTTGAAAGTTTCTTCCTTCCAAAACAACTGAGCCTACATGCATACAAACGAAGAATGACTGGATGATGCACTCCTCTAGGCTTTATAACCTGGAGTTGGAAACACACAAAACATACAATATACATACATATACATACATACATACATAAATATATATACACACATATACTTATATGTATATATATACAAGTATAAGCCTGCATTAGCTAGCTCGGTTTTGCTAGCATCCTAAGATGTTTTGCATGTATAATATATATATAATATATATATGTATGTATGTATAATATATATATGTATGTATAATTCTACCGAATTGTTGGTATTAATCAATTTAAAGTTTGCATTTTCCAATTCTCCATACTAAAGTTTTTTGGAAATTGTTAAGTTTGTTGAAAATAGAATTATCCAAGTTTATCGTGAGAATTTAATGAAACTGTTATCTATAAATACATACAATACATGCATAAAATATAATACAATACAATACAATACATACAATAAAATACAATACATACAATACAATACAATACATACAATACATACAATACAATACAATACAATACATACAATACAATACAATACAATACATACAATACAATACAATACAATACATACAATACATACAATACAATACAATACAATACATACAATACAATACAATACAATACATACAACACAATACAATACAATACAATACATACAATACAATACAATACATACAATACATACAATACATACAATACAATACAATACAATACAATACATACAATACAATACATACAATACAATACAATACATACAATACATACAATATAATACAATACAATACATACAATACAATACAATACAATACATACAATACAATACAATACAATACAATACATACAATACAATACATACAATACAATACAATACAATACATACAACACAATACAATACAATACATACAATACATCATTCATGGTGCATGCATTGAAAAGACAAATTATAGCTATTTCATAAAATTTATAAATTAGAATAGAAGATTTGAAAGGTTTATTGGAAATGGTTTTATCGTTCTATTAATGTATTTATTCTATTGGAGTATGTTGTGGTTTTGTATTGTATTGTATTTTATTGTATTATATGTATGAATTGTATTGTACATATTGTATTGTTTTTTTTGTATGTATGTATGTATTGTATTGTGGCTCATTTTTTCGGTCATAATGTCTGGTTGACGATCTTTTTTTTGGTGAACAAAGTAGTTTAGTAGCCGTAGTTTGTTCACCCCTGCATTACAATAAAAAAAAAAGAAAGGAGTGGAAGCCTAAACTTGCAATGTTTGTTAAAATAACGTATATATTATTCTAGATTGTAGTAATTACATAACATAGTATATAAATATGTCAAAGTTTAAGATATCTACAGTCGAGATAGCTGAATATGTAAATACAGTTGCTAATTTAGGGGGTGGGATTAACCAGTTTTTTAATTAGAGTCAGAAAAAGGACTGTTTTATGTGTAAAATCGACCAAAAATGGATTTGCCAAAAAAGATCGTCAGCCACAATACCACAAATCTTGGATGACCCGTGAAAATCTTGGTTCACCCCTGTAAAAATTTTGCCTCCTCCCGTTAAAATTTAAACATTTTCAAATTTTTGGCCCGCCCATCAGAGTTGTCTAGATTCGCTACTGGATAGATAGGACATTATTTGTATAAACTAAGCAATTTGAGGCTAAGCTTCTTCGCCATTCTTTTTATTTCTCCATTTTCTCAAACATAGCGGCAACAACAACAACAAACATAGCAACAACAACATACATAACAACAGCAAAAAAACATTACAACAACAACATCTAGCACGGTAACAATGTAATCCCATCAAATCATTCATCCATTCATACTTACTACCCAAACAGCCTGTCATTTATTAGCTTAGCTTCTTTATCTACTTGCACACAACACACACACCACCACGCACACTTACACATGCAAACATACAAACATACATACACACACACACACATACATGCATACATACATACATGTTCCTAATATTTCACAATTCATAACTCAATTCATTAGCTACCATTTGGCCTGACAATGCTACCAAACAAGGCTGATTTCTATATAAATTAATATATATTTATATATGTTTGTTTGTGTGTGTGTTAATATCAGTATTTGTTGTCTATACTAAACCATACTACACTAACCAACTTCTGGTCAGAAACATTAAATATTTTGTCTTAATCTAGAAACATTATATTTTGACAAGAAAATTTTAATGTAAAATTTTAATGCGATCTTTAATGTTAGTTAGTGTTATATAAATACATACATACATACGTATGTACATACATACCTGCACACATACAGACATACAAACACACATACAAACACACATGCATAGGTGTATGTGTGTAAAATGAAAAAAGTCATTCAAATTAATTGGCATAGTTATTATTAATAGCGATTTTTGTTGTCTTTTCAGATTTTCGAATGAAAACTTTTTAAAGACTTAACTATTTTTTTTACAATTAATAAAACAATTTTTAATTAATAGTAAAGAAAAATAATAATTAATATTAAAATAATAAAAGTTAAGATACAAATTTTGGAAAAATAAGGATACAACAACGACAAAATTAAGACACAACCACATGTGATCGAACCTCTCATCTAGTAACCAAAATAGACAAAACAACGCCTAGGCCACCAACAAAGCAGCATCATCACCAGCAACAACAACAGCTGCTACTACTACTACTTCTACTGCTATAACTACTACTACTACTACTGCCCCTACAGCTACTACTGCAGCTGCAGCAAAAACTTCATCAGCCAAAATGGCATCTCCGATATTTCTCTCTTATGACAATTTCGACCAAGCTTCCGAGCAAAATTCCTTCCGCGGGGCCTCTGCGACGATTTCCCGAGACTGTTTTGCCGCGAAACCTTCCAACGTTCCATCGGCGTACACCTCTGCCATGGTTCAGCCTGGCCATCAAGGACCGAGAATGTATGTACCGAGTATGACTGGTAATTTCAATGGTGGAATGCATAGGTTTGGCGGAAATCTGGTTAGTGATGGGAGAGTGAATGGTGATCTGCATTCAGCGGTCTGGTCTCCACCACAATCGATGAATTCAGGTTAATAGGGTTGTGGTTGTTTTGTGGTGATGTTGAAGATGACGATGATGCTGATGGGTGATGTGACGACGAGATGATATGGTGATGATAGAGTTGAAACGGTATATCCTTTATGATGATGCGACAATGAATACGAAACAACAACAACAACAAACATCAAAAATAACAAAAAATATCAACAAATCTAAACACAAAACAGCATCGGCAACTGCATCCGTAAGGCTATCAACCCTTCGACACTACCCAATCCTGCACCATCACGAAAACAACCACCACCCCATCTACCTTCCACCACAAATCGGTCAATCCGGTGTTGAATCCGTAAGAACTGAGAGGATGGAGAAGTTGGGATCGTGCCAGGATGTCATCACGAAGGAGAAAATCCGTAGAAGAGTTTATCTGGCGCTGGCAGCTTTCTGCCTGAATCCCTTGTTTGGCCCTGTGGCGCTCTTGCTCGCCTGTTAGAAAAATTTTAATTTGAAATTCTTTTTCATCTAATTTTTTTTTCAAATATTCAGTTATTTATTTTTTATTTGATTGCGTGTTAGATAAATTTATAAATAACATTGACCGATCAAGAAGCATTAATTATCAATTTATCAAGCAATTAATTTATTTAATCATAAATAGAGAAAATTCACTAAAGAATTCACCACAAAACCTCACCAAAACTTCGCCACAAAAGGGACAGCTCAGAACAGATTCGACAACAGCCGCTACGACGAGCAGAATATCTCAAAGCTTCTGAAGGCCTCGTTGGGTATGTCAATAGCCGGGTTCATCACCACCATCCTAACCCTTTTCCTCACTCTTTTGGGGTTCATGATTAGTTTCGGTCTCAATCCTACTAACTTTCGTTTCGGCAGCAATACCTAGATCGGTTGGTTGGCTGGTTGGTTTGCTGGATGGTTCGACCAATCAGAATACAAATGTTGGAATTTTTCAACCAATCAAAATTAGTTGCGTTTCTGGGTGAAATTTTCTGATTGATCAGAAAAATAAGTTGCTTGACTGATTGAAATTTTTCGACCAACCAGGGATTAGATATATAATTGGGTAACCAATTAAAATTAGTTGATTGGGATTGGCGGGATTGATTATATGGTTGAATTTGATTGGTTGGATATTCGTTAAGATCATCAGACCGGGTCTGTTTAGCTAATTGTCATTTGAAAGATCAATTAGGATTTAATAATCGTCCATATTTAATTAGTTGTTTGGTTAATCCAAAAGCTGATCAAATGTTAATGACTTGATGTCTACTCAATTAATGTGATATTCAATGTTATATGTTGCTAATTAATTTTTTAATTAATTAATTAATTAATTTAATCATCAATTAATTAATTCCTCAATCAATTTGGATCCAAAAAATTTAATCGGCGGTCCTTAGGACAGCTTTCAATTTTGTTTAGAATATTACAATATTTACGACTATTAATTAATTATATAATTAATTAATTAGTTATATAATTAAATAATTAATTAATTATATAAGTAATTGTTTTATATTAACATTTTAATATTATTTTTTGGACAAAAGTTAGAATTAACTAAGTACAAATAGGCATCTATTATTTAATCTTAACAAGTAAAATAAATTATTTTAGGACAAATACAGATTAGTTTAATGTTTTCTACATTGTCCTTTCTTATCATTGGGTGCGCACTTTTAATAGTAACAAAAAAAAAGGTATTTCCATACATTGTTAATTAGTGACGATTAGTGTTGATTTATAAATTGTGTCAGGAATGAATGAATGAATGACTTGATGAAAGAGTGAATGAATGAATGAATGAATGAACAAATGGATAGATAATTAAACGAATGAATGAAAGAAAGAACAAATGAATGAATGTAGGAATGAAAAAATGAATGGTTGAAATACATAAATGGATAACTTAATCGCTAGATCTACCGAATGATGTTATTAGCAATATTAATTAATTAAACAATCCATAACTACAAACTCAATTAATCAATTGAATAACCAATAGATTGATTGATTAATTAATTAATTAAAAATATTAACCAGTAAATAAAAAACTACAAAGAACTCATTAAGTTAGAATTATTTCAAGAGGAGATTGAAATAACCAAACATTCTGTGTGTGTGCTTAAGTATGTATGTGTCTGTGTAATTATGTGTGTGTGTGTGTGTGTGTGTGTGTGTGTGTGTGTGTGTGTGTGTGTGTGTGTGTGTGTAAAATGCTTACGTAACAACAATTCAAAAATATGCAGGTTACAAAAAAAAAATTAATAACTATATTTGAAGGTAGAAAAAGTATTAAGAAAGAAAACTAAAAAATGCAACAACATAAAATGAATTAGGTAGTGATATAATGAGTGAATGAATGAATGAATGAATGAATGGATGGATGAACATCGAGTGGATGAACAAATTGGTGATTGAATGATTAAATAAATGAATAAACCAACAATAAAAATGCAAACAAGATATGAATGTATGAATGAATGAATGAACGAACGGATGAATATGGATAAATGAATGAATGAATGATAAATGAATGAATGAATAAATAAATGAATGAAAAAACAAATTTTCTTTCTGAACAAGCCACAAAGAGTAACAGTGCGCATGATTTGTAGAAAAACAACAAATTAATATTAATAAGCAAAGCTAATTATAATCTAATTATTATTCATGGTGAATAATCGCTCAGCCAATCAGAACTCTCTTGTTTTTAATTTATTCATAAGGATTCATCCGACTAATAAACACGGACCTATAATTATTCATTGTATATATACACATAGAGAAAGAGAGAGAGAGAAAGAAATAGCGAATTAATATAAAAAAAAGAAACATTTTAAAATAACAGCCAGTTCATCCTAGCAATATAAGAACACCAAACAATAAAAACATTAATTAATATTCATGAAAATAATCGACCAGTCGGATTTACTTAAATAATTATAAATATATTAAAACAACCAATTGTATTTGACTGTTTGATTTTAATACAAAAACAACAAAAATATCTCACCAATCAGAATAAACTAATTATCAGGCATAATCTGACTTGACCAATCATCTCCGTAGAAAATCATTTTACATCAACCAATCAAAATAAATTAATATTCCAAACCCAACCAAACATACTGAACTAATCAATAATCACACTCTACAAAATCCGACCAATCAGCATTTAAACATTTTAAATCTTACCAACTAAGATTGAAACATTTTAAATCCGACCAACTAGGATTGAAACATTTTAAATCCGACCAATCAGCATTGAGACATTTGCTTCTTCTGTCTAGTCAGGAAATTCCTGTAGACTTTCTCCCAGTTTTGGAGGCCACAAGAGCAAAGGAAGATGAAGATGTTCCGGATGTATCCCATGTGGAAAGGATTGACGTCTATGTCGACAGTCTGATGATGGCCATGATGGTGGTGATGCCAATGGTGATGATGGTGATTGTGATGATGGTGACGACGATGATGACAACCGATTATAAAAAAAATATAATACCGCTATTTATTTTTATACAAGAACGATTATATTCATAAAAGAAGAAAGACAGATACACATCAAAGCCAACCAGCCAGCCAGCCAACCAGCCAACCAACCGCCGAACAAACCATCCCAAATCCCAAAAATTCCCCAACTTCCCTAACTTTAAGGTAGGATATGCGATGGTGGGCCAGACATTCCCAGGTTGTGATGTTCCGGCAGGCCAGGTAGAGGTGCATGAAGACGAGAATGACCACGGATATCCCTCCAGTACACAGGATGAACCCACACAAAATCCATAGGGCATTGTGGATGAAGGTATCCGTAAAAGTAGCTTGAATGTCGAAGGAGCGACTGTTTATGTGGAGCAGAATGACCGAGTGAATGAATGGATGGATGATTAGATGGATGCATGAGCAGATGGATGAATTAGTAGATGAATGGATGAATGAATGGGTAGACGATTGAGTAAATGAATGAAAGAGTTTAGCAGTAAAAGTGCATTTCATGGCAAGGATTGACTGTTTTTTGTGACGGTGAATTAGTGGGTGAATGAATAAATAAAAGAATGAGTGAATGAATGAGTAGATGAATGAATGAATGAATAAATGAATGAATACATGGAAGATTGAACGTGAAAATGAATGAGTGAACTACAAACAACTTCATCAGCAATAACGGCATCTAACACTAAAATATACGCTGTCCAGACGAGAGAAGCAAAAGTGGTCAACAAAAACAAGAGGAAGAACCTATGATTCCTCTCCCCCACACACGTCGCCAGCCAGGGGCAGTGGTGGTCGAACCTGTATACGCACCTCTGACACTCCTCACAATGTTTGGCCCTCAATGGTTGCTGGGTTTGTTTGTTTTTGATTGATGACGTCAAAAAAAAAACAAGATGTTGATGACGTCAAGAAAGAACATAGATGAAAAAATAAACAACCTAAATGACGTCGACAAACAGCATAGATAAAAAGCATTAACAACACGCCAGATACAAAAACAGCATAGATAAAAAAAAAACAGTATTAATGACGTCAACAAACAGCATAGATACAAGAAAGAAAAGAAACCTTAATTCCACAGAATCCACAACACCTCAACTTAACTCTAATCTTTCCAGTCATACTACTCCTATCTGTGTAATTCTTATCATCATCACATTCATCATTACTATTATTATTATTACTATTGCTATTATTATTATTGTTATTATTATTATTCAATTCATCTTCGTCATAGTTATCAGCATTTTCCTCATCCGATGATGACAGTGCAGATGGCTAAGAAAAATATTTAACATAATAATAAATAACCACCTTTTATTTAGTAGAGGTATATCACATGATCATCAGCAATACATCACCACCATCATCATCATCACTACATCACCATCATCATCATCATTATATCACTATCATCATCATCATTTCATCGCCACCATCATCAGCACGCCATCATCATCATCGTTATCACTAGATCACCATCATCATCACGTCATCATTATCTTCATCATCATCCACCTAAACCAAAACTTACATTGACAGGAATGAAACCTGGATCAACAAAACAAGCCACATAGTAGAATGCCAGGCTTAAGAGAATGAGGCCTATGTATGATAGGGGGTATAGGAAGGTGGTAATGTACTCCAAGCGTACGTTTTCTAGAAGTTCTGTCAGTTTGTTAGTAGGTGGGAGTCTAACTAACTAACAGAATTAAGAAGTGAGATTAGTGAAGGAAGTTTAAGACCAATCAGCGAATGAAATAATTTCCAATTTATTTATTCATGTTTGTTAAATAAAATGAGTTTACTTATTTAATCCTGAATGGAATAATTGGTGAATGGAGTTACATTTAGTTGTTAGTGAATAAAATTAGTGAATTGGTGTAGAAATTCAGGGATTTTTTTTGTATGATAAAAAAAAATTAAAAAGTAACTTGATAAGATTTCTAATAGTTTTTTTTTGTCTTATCTTACCTCTTAGAACATTTAAGATTTATCAAATTGATACACTATTGAATGCCTGCACATTTAATTAATCAAATTATTAGATTAATTTTTTTCAAAAAATAAAATAAAACAGACGAGATTTATGAACGAAGGAAGGCAGAACGGCCAAGACGACAAGAACAGTGTGAAATATTCTGACAAAATATTTTGAAAAATTTAAATTTTCCGGAAACTTAAAAACCATTATTTGCCAAAAAATTCAGCTGAAATTAACTAATAATTTACTAAAATAATGTTAAACTAATAAAATAATTTCCTTATAAAATAAATTTAAAGATTTATTTTTAATCAGAAAAAAAAATTGTGATCGATTTACATTTAAAAGCTTAAAAGTCAATTCGATTAAAACAAAAATTTAGAATACTTATAGAATATACATAGTATGTATGTATGGGTATATATGAGTATTAATTTTATGTATATTTTGGTGTGGCCTATCTATAAATGTATGTGTATTCTTTAATTCGCTTAATTACTGATTTCTTATTTAATCTCAGTTTTTCTATACTATAGAGTCTATAGTCTATCTGTTATTCCGTTATATCAGGATATTTTAGATTGTAATTGTCTTATTTTTTTTTCAAATTTAGAGAATAATTGAAAGACCATCTCTTACATCACAATCTCATTACATTATATACATGAAAACATCAAGTAACATTAACATATGAACACAGTATCGTTGGTGATTCTAACATCAGGTAATCTTTCGTTTTTCTCTACTATAGCTCAATTTCTAAGTAAAAAACCATAATTCGATGAAATTTGGATGTAATATACATGGATATATATAATATCCATATATCAATAGTAATATTTTTAATTTTTAAGTTAAAGAACGACGAAAAAGACAATTT